GGTCGGATTTTGACTGTTGGTCCTCTCGGCCGCGTCCAATACGCGGGCCGGAAATGGGTTGTGGGTGTGGGGGAGTGGATTTCTTTTCGTGTATGTGTGCATGTGTGTGTGTGTGAGAGAGAGAGGGCTCTCTCGGGGCGTGGTCGTGTGTGTGGGTGGGGGGAGGCGGTCGTGAGGGGCGCTGGGGCTCGGGAGGGGGGCCTGGGGGTGGTCGAGCGCCGGTTCGTGTGGTGAAATAGTCGGTGCTGGCGGGGAGTGGCTGAGCTGGCAGGGCTGTCTGGTTTGATGTAGGATTGGTGTGCTGTGCTGCGCTGTCGCTTCGGAGGGAGGCGGGGGCGCGTGCGCTGGGGCGGCGTGCGTCGAGGTGCGAGTGGCGCGGGAGTGGGCGGGTGTTCTGGGGCCGGGGAGCGGTCGCGCTGGCAGGAGCCTGAGATGCTGAATTGAGAGGTGGAGGCAATGCGGGGTTGCTGTGGGAAGGTGGATGGCTGGGTGGGCAGGCGTCGGGGCGTGGTGGCTCTCTGTGCCCTCTCTGTGGCGGGGGGAGCGGTCTCGTGGAGGTTTGTATCGAGAAGTTCTGTGTGGTTGGAGTGTGTAGATCTGGGGATGTGTCGGTCTGGTCTGTGGTAGGTCTGCGCGGCGCGCACTCTCGGGGCCAGGTGGGCGTTCGGTGCTGCACGCCTGGTTGGAGGCGGCCCTTGGCGGCGGCGGGCCGCCCTGCCCCTGTCCTGCGGAGGGCCGGGGCGGCGGCGGGGCGGCGGCGGGCGCAGCGGCAGCGGGCGCGGTCATTGCGCGCGGCCCAGAAAAAGAATTTTTCTTCTGATCGTCCTTACAAGATCCTGCTCGTGCAGGTGGGGACCCTGTCCTTCTCCCACCCCTCGTTTGGCGTGTACGTTGTTACCATACAAGCCCCTCTCACAGCAGACTGGCTCGGACTGGCACTACAAATGGCACAGCAAAAGAATTTAAACAAAACAACTCTCTCTCAGAGCACACAGGCTCGACACAGGTGCGAACTGGCGCGTGCTAGTACTATCACCGGCACACCACCGGAGCCGCCTAAGCGACTCCGTTAAGAACGGCAATGCACTTAGCTCCGTGCACAATGCCGCTGTCCCCGCACGCTAAAAGAATGTTACAACCGAACTCCCTCGAGTGTTGTGCGAGGAAAAGAAATTTTCCCAGCGTCATCTACGCACGATTCACACAACAGGCAAAGCGCGGACGACGGCTTCTAATAATAGAAGCCGTCGTCCTCACAGAAGCCGTCGTCGGATTCGCAGTCAGAAGGCGGATGGTCGAATCCGCGAGCACCGTGGTGCTCGCCGAGAGGACCATCCCCATCCCACTCCCCTTCATCCCAACCGCCCCCACCCGCGCGCCTACCCCGCCGATGGCCGTTGGGGCGGGAAATCCCGCCCCACCCACCATTGCGCAGCAGTGGTCCGAGGTCCTCGCTGAGCAGCAGAAGCCGCCCAGTCCGGACCTCGTCCCTCCACCCCTCCTTCTCCCACATAGGAAAAGAAATTTAGACTGGAGGAAAAGAATTTTATAACAAAACTCCCTCGCACGACACTGGGCACGGGACTGGCGCGCACTGGCACTAACACAGGTACACCACAAGGAAAAGAATTTAACTCGAGTAGCAGGCGAACGAAGAATTTCTCTGCACCGAGAACATCGAGTACGTGATGGCCGGGCTGCGGTCTGCAGCTGCGCGCAGCCAGGCCGGGTCCAAAATAGGGGTCGAATACTCGCTGCCCCCGGAGAGGGACGACGGGTATCGAGACGCGGCCCCAGCAAGGTGTACGCCACAGTTCCCCAGGGGACCGTGGCGACGACCGTCGCCTCGGACTGGCTCGCGAACGAGCTGGCCGAGCACGGAGAGGTCGATGCGGCATACCGCGACCGCATAGTCATGCACCTGATGACGGCCGCCGGCGCCTCGGCGCCGGCCGACGCCGTGTTCAGGTTCACGGCTGGCGAGGCGATGCAGACCGAGGACGACGACGAGAGGACGCCGACCGCTCCGAGGATTATTCCGACGGTGGGAGGGCGTCCGACTTGTAGCTGGCCTCACCCATATCTTACCCTCTGCCCCCCCCTCCTGCGACCCCCCAGGCTAGATGGAGTAGTCACAGATAAGCCGGATGAAGATTCTGCCCCACACAGCCCCCTACCCCTTCACCCTCGCCTCGCTGCTTGGTGTTTCTGAACACGCAGTCGTCCACGCTGTGGGGGTTGTGTGCCGTGTGCGGGTTGTGTCTGGGAGGGAGGGAGTGGGGTGCAGGTTGCTCACCCACGGCACCGGGCCGGTGCTTGCACTTTGAATGCCGTGGGGCTCCTGCCCGTGTCCGGGCGTGGAGATGCGAGGGTCGCCCCCCCTTGCCCCACCACTTTGTGTGTGTGGAGACGTTTACCTTACTTACACCTTACCCCTTAGCCCTCTCTTAGAGTACCTGCTCGACAGCGTTGGTAAAGAAAGAAAGAAAAACTTTAGTTTTAAGGTGGTTCTTGAGAGTCGTGAACGAGGCCGCTTCTCTCAAAGTCGCATGCGGGCGGCCGCCCGAGCGGCGCTTCAGCCAGCCCTCACGGCCCGGGCATGCACCCGCACACCCTCCTCTCGCGCATGCCGATGCGCTCAGTCGATGCGGTCGCGGTGCTGCAACTCTGCAGCGCTGCGACCGCACCGGTCTCCCGCGTCGCCGCCGTCGGTCGTGCCGCTCCCGCCAGCTCCGCTGCCCGCCGACGCGGTGGTACACGCGCTCTCCGGAGCCCGTCCGAGGGGCGGAGGCTCGAGCGTTGGTCCCGGGCGAGCCGCCAGACTCGAAGACGGCACCCCTAACCGCGTCCCCATCCTTAGCTTCTGTTCTTTCCTCCCCGTGAGCCGTCTCTTGTCGCGAGACCGCCGAGTGTGTGCCCTCGTGAGTCCGTCGGGTACTTTTCGCGTATAAAAATCGGCTGCGCGGGCGTTCCATCTGGTGTTACCAACGGCCTGGCGGCCTCGGATCCGGCCTCGCAGCTCGACGCGAGCGCCAAGGTGGACCTGTCTCCGGCCTCTCGGGCCCCTCTCGGAGCCGTGAGAGGGTGCAGGCCGAAACCACAGCCGCTAACGTCCGTGTGGCCGAACGGGGCCAAACTTTCGCCGCCGGATCCCGGGCCACGGGTAATGGCACCGATCCCGCAGTTTCCCCGGGGCTTACTCGACGCTCTTGTGCCCCGAACTTTCCTCCCCCCGTCCCGAGCACGACCAGAGCTGCTCCGGCGTGGTTTGGAGCGAGGTACGGGTGGCGGCGGGTTCGAGTAAGCCCCGGGGAAACTGCGGGATCGGCGCCATTCCATAGGTGCTCCAACGCCCTAGCCGGCTCGGGAGCACTGTCCTGCCCGTTATATGCGCACCCGCTCACACTTTTAGGCTCTCCGGCGGCCTCAGGGGCCTTGCCGAGGGCTGCTTCAGCGCGGTCACAGTGCCGTGGAGCCGGCCAGCGTGCTCGCAGCCATGCCACTGGTGGACCATGTCCGCCTCCCGCCCGGTGGCTCCAACCACAGCCCGCCTCACCGTCGGCGAAGCACCTCAGGCCCTTCGCGGCTGCGTTGTCTATCCGGCTCCACGGGGCCTTTCCGAGACACTTCCGCGCGGGCCGAGGGACTCATCGACCCCTCACATCCCGGAGGGACGGCGCACGCGCTGCCCAGTGACCGGGCGGGTCGGCCCCGATTAGGAGCGGCCCCAGCCGGGCGGAGAAGACCATCCCACTCGCGGTGCGTCGCACCGGCCGGTCCGGTTTTCGTCTCGAGCGGGTCGCGAGACGGCCGCGAGAGCGAGCACCGCGGTCACAGTGCCGTTGAGGCCACGGACGTCGCCGGAGCGGCACTCCCGGGGCGCCACTCCCTCACCCGGTCGGGGGGGGGCAACCACAGCCCGCCTCACCGTCCGTGGAGCTTCCGTGGTCCGCTGCTCCGGCTTCGATTTTCGACCCTCCCGAGGCTGCTAGAGCAGCCCCGCGGAGCCTCCCGGATGCACCAGCACACCGTCGTCCAGGACGACGGCGCAAGCGCTGCCCAGTGACCGGGCGGGTCGGCCCCGACTAGGGGCGGGCCCAGCCGCGCGGAGAAGACCACCGAGCTCGAAACACGTCGCCACGGCCGGCCGTTTCGCAAGCCTGAGCGGGTCGCCAGACACCCGCGAGAGCCAGCAGCTAGAGCGCCGTCGTAGCCGCAGATCGAGTCGAGGAGCTTAATGTCCACGGTAGCAGTTGTGGAGAGCGGTGGCGCGGTGCGTGTAGAGGGGTCGATCGAGGGCTCTTTTTCGAAACGCGACGGGTACGGCATGACAACTGCCAGTACAGTTTTACGCCGGCCAGCGTGAGAGCACAACAGGGATCCGGCGACCCGTACGCTTTACGCGTGGCGGCCGGTGGCTGTCTGGAGCTCGTGCGAGCTAGGCCGACGCGTGGCCGAGCCGAGAGGACCAGCGAGCGACCACGTTGGCGATGAAGCTTGGCGGCCGGCGCCTCGTCGCCAGACGTCACAGCGGCGTGGACGCAGGAGTGTGCGGCGACGAGTACCGGCAAATCCGGCCCGGTGTGGCCGGCAGCTGCATAGCGCTGGCCTGTGACCGGCGCCGCGGTGGCGGAAGAGGCGTCTCGCCGCCGTGGCGGCGGTCGGCAGGTGCGAGCGTGACGGCCATCGTGCGGCAGAGTCCGGCCACAATTTTTCTCAAGAACCACCTTAAGGGAGGGATGGGCTGAGGACGGCACGGCCGTCACACCACACACAGGGATTTTAAGGAGAGGAGTGTGGTGCTAACCGTCGCCCACCCTTGGGCGTCTGTACCCCTGTCGCCTCTCACACACAAGAACGCAGAGCTCGGCGCGCAACTAGCGTGCGGGCAATAGCCAATACCAACTAGCATGTATGTGTGCGACCACAGCCCCCAGAGAGTCCTCGAGCTTCCCCGTACACGTCCCGAGAGCGGCCACGCGTTTCCCCTCGGCAGCTCCCTACGAGCGCCGGGCCGCCTCCGCCGCCATCCTGGCAGCGGCCGCCTTTGCCCTCGCAGCGGCAGTGGCCGCGCGCCTCTCCTTGGCGGCGGACAACGCCGCCGCCAGCGCCGCCTCGGCCGCCGCCAGCGCCGCCTCGGCCGCCGCCTCGGCCGCCTCCTCCTCCTCCGCCTCCTCCTCCGCCTCATCCGCCTCAGCGTCTAAGCGCGCAGCTTCGGCCACTTCTGCCGACGCAGCTGCCTGGCTCTCCGCCGTGATGCTGAACCGCATCCTCTCCTCGGTGAGCGTCTCGAGAAGCAGGAGAAGCCTCGCCTCCTCGGCCTTCTTCGCCGCCTCGACTGCGTCTGCCTCCGACGGCGCCTCGGCAACCTCCTCGAGCTCCTGCGACGGCCCAGCCCCGCCCGCCCCGCCGCCCTTCTTCTTCTTCTTCTTGCCCTTCTTGCCCTTGGCGCGCTTCTCCGCCTCGACCTCCGCCAGCAGCTCCTCCGCGTGCCGCGCCGCCTCCTTCTCCTCCGCCGCCCTCTGCGCCGCCCTCTCCGCCGCTCCCGCGGCCCACGCCGCCTCCGCCGCCGCCTTCTCCGCCGCCTTCTCGGCCGCCGAATGCTCCGCGAGGGCGCGCACGCACCCAGTGTGGCCCTTCTTCTTGGCACACTGCAGCGCGGTCGTGCCATCTGCATCGCGCAACGTCACGTCTGCGCCCGCCCGCAGCAAGCAGAGAAGGGCGGCGGGGTGGCCGAAGAAAGCGGCCTGAATCAGTGCAGTGTTGCCGTAGTGGCACTGAATGTTGATCTCCGCGCCGTGCCGCAACGCCAACTCGACCAGCTTCTCGCGGCCATTCGTGGCGGCGATACTCAGCGCGGTGGCGCCATCGCTAGACTGCAACGAGATATCCGCGCCGCGCTGGAGCAGCGTCTCGGCCAGTCCCTCCCGGCCCCTCATCATTGCGAGCATCAGCAGCGTCACGCCGCTCAAAGAGAGGCTGTCCGAAAAGACGTGCACGAACGTCGCGTTCACCCGCCCGCCGCCGTCGACCCACGCCAGCACCGCCTCCTCATCGCCTAGCCCAGCTGCCAGCACAACCTCCTCTGGCACTGCCCCGCCGCTGCTCAGCGCTGCCTCCGCGCCTCCCTCGCCGCTCGAAGCAGAGGCCGCAGCACTAGCACCCTCCGCCGCGCCTGCGCCGCCTGCCTCGGCCGACGGCGCCTTGCTCCGGACCGCCGCCACCTCCCCGATATGCGTCCTGAACGCCTCGACGCACTCGGCGTGGCTCTCCTCCTTGGCCCACTGCAGCGCCGTCTTGCGGTCCACGTCGCGCAACGTCATGTCCGCGCCCGCCCGCAGCAGGCGGAGCACGACGGCGGGGCGGTTGAAGTAGACGGCGAACATCAGCGCGGTGCCACCGTTCTGGTCTTGCAGGTCGATCTCCGCGCCACGCCGCAGCAGCAGGTCGACCACCCGCTCTTGTCCGCCCTGGGCTGAAACTACCAGCGCCGCCCCCATCTCCGCACCGTGCTGCAGCAGCCTCTCCACCATTCGCTCGCGGCCGTAGTAGGCGGCAGCGTTGAGCGCTGTGGTGCCGCGACTGGTTTGCAGGTTGATGTGCGCGCCACGCCTCAGGAGGAGCTCGACAATCTGCATGTGCCCGTTCTGTGCGGCGAGCATCAGCAGGGTGTATGGAATCTTACCGCCGCCGCCGCCGGCCACGCAGTCAACATCGAAGAGAGTGTCGGCCTTCCCGCCTTCATTCAGCCACTGTCGCACCGGTCCCACGAGGCCGTCCGCAGCCGCCTTCAGGACGTTCTTTGGGACTTCACCACCCGGCGCGCTGTCAGCAGACGGCGGCGGCGGCTTGCGGAGCGCGGCGGAGGCGCGGGAGGGCGGGGCGGGCATGACGTCTTGGGTATGGGTCGGATGGGGGACAACCGCGCGATTTCTTTTTGTGGTCTCTTGCTCATTGACGGCGGCGGCGGTGAGACCGAGCCGTTGGGAGAGCAGCGAGACGCATTCCCACGAGCTTGTGTTAGAGAGGCGGCGCTGGCGCCACTCGCTCCCAGGATGGCAGCCTGAGGGCCCAACTTCAGAATCGTGCTTTTTGGGTTGGGTTGGGTTGCGTTGGCACGGGTTGGGTTGTTCGGAGAGACGCGTGAGTGTTAGATTTGTTGTTCGGCGGTGAGGTTGGGTCGTCGGCGCGAAGGGTGAGGTCTCGACCGCCGCCGCTCACGCCAGCGGAGCGCCATGCGCTCGCCGGCATCGAGCGAGCAACGTGATCGACCGAGCGGCTTGCTGTGCGGACGGCTTCTTGTGGCTCTCGTCGAGAGCGTTTTGCGGCCCGGCGGGTGTGAGAATGTGTGTCGTCTGTTGTGTCACTGTGTACGTCATATCGGTCTTGATAACAAGCACGGTCGATCCGTCGAAGCGATACACTCGTTCCTATCACGCTGGAAGGCTTGCACGGACGCTGTGCCGCGGCACACAGAAGAGCCGTCCGGCAAGAAGAGCTCGATGGGGAGCGAGAACCTGGGGCTCGCCGGAACGCGACCACGTTGTTCAACGCTCTGAAGTTGAAGAGGCGCAGCCGCCGAGCACCGTCTCATATACAACCTTGTTCTGTTGCTGCGCGCGCTCTCGAGAGACAGCCGCACGGACTCGTTGTGCTCGATTTTCATTCGTCGCTCGTGTATGTCAGCTGCCAGCAAGCCGTCGTGATCGCGGAAAACCAGTGGTCTAACGGCGTCTAGATTGCTTAGGTAGGTAGGTAGAAAGGTGAAGAACAGCCAGGCTCGGACTGGACACCAACGCGGTATGGGTGGACGCCGGACACATGATGACGACACGCACGAGCGACACACAGACACAAACAAGCTCACACAAGAAACACAGCCAGCGGGCTGCCACACTCACACCCTGAGTTGGCGTACACATAACTCAAGCGTCAAAGGCCACATCCTCCCTGTCGCCCCCCCCCAGCACTCCAAGGTGCCAAGAGAACAAACAAGGGCACAACAAACAACAGACGACAGGAAGTAACGTGCTAGGCTAGAGCAGACCGCTCCGCCTCTAGCAATCTCGCCGGCCGGCGAGGCACGGACGAGACCGTGTGTGGGTCTAGTGAGGTGTCTATGGACGCCCTCCTCACAGGCTAGCGGCCTTCGATAGCGGCCTACTACTAGCCCTAACTCGCACTCATGGGAGATGTCAGTTCATTGTATGAGTGTATGCAAGCAGAGGCGCGTGTGCTGATTCTAGATCGCACGCCGTGGCATATGACTTGGGAGGCGTGCGACCGCAGCGCACCCGTCGTACGTAAGGTCGACGGGCTCGCGTGTCAGCGAGAGAGTTGCGGGCGATCCTGGTCTCTTTTAGACATTAGATAGAGGAAGAGCCCCGCGCCACGGTTGCCAGCCGTGCCTTCGCGGGAGCCGCCCCTCGAGCCGCGTCTCTCTCGTCGCCACTGTCCCTGACTGACTGAGCGGTCTCAGCCCTACCTGGCCATTCTAGATTATAGAATGGCATCCTTACATCTAGAATGGCGTCTCGCGCGCGCTCACCCGGCCGCCTCGCAGCCCCAGCGGCCGGGGGGCGCTTGCCGGGGTTGGGGCTGGTCACACACAGGCGCCACTTTAACGCGGCGAGCCAGAGGAGTCACACAGGAGAGCCCCCAACATGCCACATTTTCAGCAGCAGACGGGCCGCGGTGAGGGCCCATTCTGTATCGAAGAATGGGGTCCGCCGCCGTCCCCCACGGCCTTCTCACGCCCCCAGCGGCGGCGTGCCGCTCGGCCAGACTGGTGGGGTTCGCGCACAAGCCCCAGTTCAACACAGAGAGCCCAACAGTCCGCAAATGAGAGTCCTCCCCCCGCCCCCAAACCAGAGCAGACGCCGGGGGGTGCGCCACGTATGGCAAAAGCAAACGCACGATGGCCGCCGGCGGCCGTTGAGCGCTGCCGACGTTCGAGCCTTGGATGTCAGTCCGTCGCCGCCTGTGGCGAGGGCAGTGGAGGTGTGAGATTTGTGCTCGCAAGTGGTGGGCGGGCGAAAGGGTCGGGCGGCGAAAGAGAGCAGACCGCAGATAGCGCGAAATGCGGACTACTCGTGTCACATCTACTCCTCGTGTCACCTAGTCATCGTCCTCGCTTCCCTGGCCGGTCTCCGAGTCCTGCTCCTCGCCCGAGTCCTCGTCCAAGTTCGAGTAGTCTTCCTCCTCTTCGTCCTCTTCGTCGATCTCGTCGAGCCGGCTCCTGGCCCGACGCCCGTGACGCTGGGGCCGACTTGCTACGCGCGCTGCGACCCGGACCGCCACCTCTGCTGCCGCCTGTGCTACCCGTAGTCCTTGCCGGCGAGCGAGTGCCTTTTGCGGGGCTGTAGCCAGAGCGGGTGTCGCCACGGCCGTCTTCTGATCTGTTTTGTGGTCTGCGGACTGCGCGCTGCGCTGCGCTGCGCGTCTCGAGGCGCGCCGCAACACAGCCCGTGTAAATGGGGTAATGGATAAACCAAGCATCCCCGATGGCCGGGGGGATGTCCCATGGCCCCGGGGTGGCCGTGGGCACGCAGGGGGCGCCGCTACGGGCCGCTGCGGCGCCCATTCTACTTCGAAGAATGCCATTCTTGAAACTAGAATCTAGGTCTGAGACCGATGAGTGCGTCCCGCCTTGGCGGCACACACTCGACGAGGACAGTCCGGCCGACGATTGCCGCCGGGGCTCGAGCAAACATTCGAAAAAGAATTCTTAAAGTACAAGCCTCTCTCACAGCACACTGGCACGACAAAGGCGCGCGGACTGGCGCGGACTGGCACACACACGGCTCACCAAAGAATTCGCCGCTACCTCGCAGCCCCGGCCCCGCGCTCGGGATGGCGCTCGCTGGCACGGAGCCTCCTGCCGAGGCGCCGGCCGAGGAGCCGGCGGCGGCACCAGCGGCGGCGCCCGAGGCACCGGCGGCCGAGGCTCCTGCTGCCCCCGAGGGTCCTGCCGCCGCGCCGCCCGAGATCTCGGCCTCTGGCCGGGTGCGCCGCAAGTCTGCAGTGGGCGCCTCTGCCGCGGTGAAGGCGGTGCTGTCCAAGCCCGCGGCGGCGGCGAAGCCCAAGTCAAAGGCGAAGCTCGATCCCACGCGCAAGATCCAGGAGAAGATGTATGACGTCCGGCTCGGCCGCCTCCTCGCGAGCGTCGAGGAGGCCGAGGCGGTCGAGGCGGAGGCCGCCGCCGCGGAGCGGGCGATCCGGAGGAAGGAGAACAAGGAGCGGCGGGCAAAGGAGGCCGCCGCCGACAAGGCGGCGGCGGCCGCCGCCGCCGCCGCCCCGCCTCCCGAGCCAAAGTACTCTCGCAGCGGCCGTCAAGTGAAGATGTCGCTCAAGGCGAGCGAGGTGCACACGTCGTCGCTGCGGGAGGACGTCGAGATGGAGGAGGAGGGGGAGGGCGGCGGCGGCGACGAGGAGGACGAGTACCGCAACCTCGACGAGCTGGGCGAGGAGGGCGACGAGGAACTCGAGGCGCTGCCGAGGCGCACCATACGCTTCGTCGCATCTTCTCTTCTCTCTCTCCGCTCTCTCCTCTCTCTCCTCTCTCCTCTCTGCTCTCTCTCCAGCCATTGGCCCACTCGCTGAGAAAGTACATGCCACCGCAAGCCTGCCACACACACATCACACATATGCCGCACGAGACGGCGGCGGGCAGCCGCGCAACGCCAAGTGCAGCAGTGCACGCGTGCGCGACACCGCGCGGCTGTCGTGCTTGCACCCACAAGAACAGCCCCTTCCCTCACATCCCACGGCGCCTCGACGCGGGTATGAATCACAGACCACCTCTCACACTTTAGCATTGCCGGCGCGAACAGGCCGCGGCGCCGGTCCAGCGGCGGCACGGGGCGGCGCAAGCGCGGCAAGGCGAGCTGCGCCTCTTGGCTGCCTCTCGGCTGCCTCTCGGCTGCGCCTCTCGGCTGCATCTCGGCTGCATCTCAGCTGCATCTCGGCTGCACCTCGGCTGCACCTCGGCTGTACCTCGGCAGCATCTCGGCAGCATCTCGGCTGCACCTCGGCTGCATCTCAGCTGCATCTCGGCTGCATCTCAGCTGCATCTCGGCTGCACCTCGGCTGCATCTCGGCGAGATCTCGGCGAGATCTCGGCGAGATCTCGGCGAGATCTCGACCAGATGGCGGTGTGCTCTTCACTGTAGCCCATATCTCCCCATATCTCCCCATATCTCCCCACATCTCCCCATATCTCCCCACTGTAGCCGGACGACCACTTCTCGGTCGACGATGACAGCGACGAAAGCGACGAACCGAAGGCAGAGGCTGCCGAGATGCAGCCGAGAGGCAGCCGAGAGGCAGCCGAGAGGCAGCCGAGAGGCAGCCGAGAGCAGCCGAGAGCAGCCGAGAGCGGCCGAGAGGCAGCCGAGAGGCAGCCGAGAGGCAGCCGAGAGGCAGCCGAGAGGCAGCCGAGAGGCAGCCGAGAGGCAGCCGAGGTGCAGCTGTCCCGTGCCCTGTGACGCGGGCCGCGCTCTTTTCTTTCTTCTCAGGCTCGCTCGGCGATCAAGCAGAAGCGGCGCGGCGGCCTGGCGGAGGATGGCGGAAGAAGAGGGAGTGGCGATGAGGGTAAGGGAGGAGAGGGCGTTGCACCGCAGGTCGCGCGGCGGCGTGAACGAGGACTTTTCGGCGGCGGCGCTGCGGGCTGCCGAGGGGGAGGACGTGTCCAGGAAGTGGCTGGGAGGTGTCTAGGAAGTGTCTAGGCGCTGCGGGCTGCCGAGGGGGAGGAGGAGCTGCTGAAGAAGAGCGTGACGGCGACGCTCTCGCGGGAGGCGAGATGCAGAAGAGATATCGGCGAGATGCAGACCAGATGTCGACGAGATGTCGACGAGATGCCGACGAGATGCCGACGAGATGTCGACGAGAGACAGCCGAGAGCATTCTCGGCATCATTACTAGTGACGATTGTTCCTCCTCCGATTCGTCTCACCCCTCCTCTTCTTCTTCTGATTCTCACCCCCCTTGCCTCTTTGCAGGACGGGCCTCTCGGCGTCGCTGTCAGCGGGCTGCTCATCACCGCGGTGCAATCTCGGCTCGATCTCGGCTCGATCTCGGCTCGATCTCGGCTCGATCTCGGCTGGATCTCGGCTCGATCTCGGCTCGATCTCGGCTCGATCTCGGCTGGATCTCGGCTCGATCTCGGCTGGATCTCGGCTCGATCTCGGCTGGATCTCGGCTGGATCTCGGCTCGATCTCGGCTGGATCTCGGCTCGATCTCGGCTGGATCTCGGCTGGACCTGGATTCGGCTATACACCTCTGCACACCGTGACCTCGGACCTCTCTCGGACATGTCCTCGGAGTCCTCGGACATGTCTCGGACATGTCCTCGGACATGTCCTCGGACCGTGTCTGAGACATGTCCTCGGACCGTGTCTGAGACAGGTGCACGAGGGCGGAGCCGCGCACCTCGAGGGCGGCCTCGCGCGCGGCCGGGGATGCGGCGGCGTCGTCAGACACCCGTTGGCTATGGGACAGTGTTCGAGACTAGGCAGCCTCGCGGTGGGGTGTGGGGTGTGGGTCATCCGTCAGGCAGAGTCACTCACTGTACACACTCCTCCTCAGCAGGCTCCCTCGCGGTGGGGGACGTCATCGTCGAGGTCAACGGCAAGGACGCGGGCATGGAGGGGGAGCTCGGCCCGCTGCTTCCCCCGGCCAAGGCGACGGTCTCTAGTGGTGGGATGGTGAGAAGGGTGAGAATGGCGATGGCGCTGGTGTTGCTGCTGCTGATGAGATGACAATGAGACTGATGACGATAAGACTGAGAAGGTGATGATGGTGGTGGTGGTACTAACCGCTCCTGCCTCCCGGCAAGGCGACGCCGGTCCGGCTCAAGGTGAGATCGAGCCGAGATCCAGCCGAGATCCAGCCGAGATCCAGCCGAGATCCAGCCGAGATCTAGCTGCGACTTGTTTCCTCCAGGTCGTCCGCTACGTCAAGCGGGACGACCACGCGGCGGAGGTGCTGCCGCCCGCCTAGCAGCGGGAGATCTCCCCATATCTCCCCGTATCTCCCCATATCTCCCGCCCCCGATGCTGGTGTCTTCATCACGTGCGTGTGTGGGTGTGTGTGTGGGTGTGTGTGTGTGGGTGTGTGGGTGTGTGTGGGTGTGTGTGGGTGTGTGTGTGTGTGTGTGTGTGTGTGTGTGTGTGTGTGTGTGTGTGTGTGTGTGTGTGTGTGTGTGTGTGTGTGTGTGTGTGTGTGTGTGTATCGCGCGGCCTGGGCAGGGGGGGAGGGGGTGCGGGGTGCGGAAGAGAGGAGCCTCCTGGCGCCTTCGCCGCGGAGCCGACGTCGACTGACCGCCTCCCGGACCCCTCGGAGGTGCTAGCCAAGGCGAAGAGCAAGGTGGAGGCCGCCCTCGCGCTGCCGACGCTGGCGGAGGAGGCGAGCCGCAAGGAGGTGGAGGAGCGGCGGCGCGTGCTCTCGGCCGCTGTCAACGTCGGCAAGCGCGCCAGGCTGGACGCAAAGCAGATCCAGCGGCGCGGAGACCGTAGAAGCTTCTGGAAGATTCTAGAAGCCGGACAAGAGGCAAGCCCCTCCAGACCCTCTACCAGACGCTCTAGACGCGGACGGCGTGGTTGCTCGGTGTTCCGGCCAGCGCTCGAGAAGCGGCACACGTCTGCCGTAGGCTCGAGAGATGGGGAGATGCAGCGAGACGTAGGGAGGTGAGGTTGGTGTAGTCAGCACCGTAGGGCTCGCGCCTCTGGCCTACTCTCACCCTTCCTCCTCACTTCTCAACAGGCTCGAGATCTGGCTGCACGCGCTGCCCCCGCCGCCAGAGCCTACGCGCATGGAGGTTGAGCCGCCCGAGGCCGGAGGCACTAGAGGCGGAATCTCTCCCCACATCTCCCCACATCTCCCCACATCTCCCCAGATCGGAGGCCCTAGAGGCGGAATCTCTCCCCACATCTCCCCAGATCGGAGGCCCTAGGAGCGGGATCCGTGTCCTTGTCTCCACCTAGCGCTCGGGAGGACACGGACTCAACTGTACTCCAACTGTACTCCAACTGTACTCCTCCGTATTCAGCTGCGGTCGCCTCCCTCGCCATCCCACGCGGCGCTCTGAAGACTCTGCACGAGCCCGCACACAATCTCGCTATATCTCCCCGTATCTCGCCAGATCTCGCCAAATCTCCCCATATCTCGCGCCATGCGGCATCGCCGCCGGGTCCTCCCGCGATCTCGCCAGATCTCGCCAGATCTCGCCAGATCTCGCCAGATCTCGCCAGATCTCCCTGAGGTCGGCGCCCCCACCCGCGTAGGCCGCCGACGCAGGCAGCGGCGGTGCGCCAGACACGAATCGCGTGGGGACGCCCCCCCTCGCCTCTGGGGGGGCGAAGGCTCCGCCGCCGCCAGCGGGCGCTGCATCGGCGGGGCAGCCTCCCTCGGGACAGCCGACCGCCGGACAGGCCCCCGTGCAGGCTCCTGGACAGCCTCCCTACCCCTACCCTTGCCCTTGCCCTTACCCTTACCTTCACCGCCGGACCGTGCAGGCTCCTGGACAGCCTCCTTCCGGGCAGACGCTTGGGCAAGGCTCTGGACAGCCGACCGCAGAGCAGCGCCCCGCCGGGCAGGCTGCAGCGCCGCCCCTCGCGCCACCGGACGCCGTCCCGCAAGAGGCGGTGCGGTCTATCTCCCCATATCTCCCCATATCTCCCCATATCTCCCCATATCTCCCCCATACCTCCCCATACCTCCCGCAAGACGCGGTGCGGTCGTCCCCCGGCGGCCGGCCCTCTATGCCGCCAGCTCTCGTTCGTGAGCCCCCCCCCACCCCTCCTCCTCCCCCCCCCTCCTCCTCCTCCCCCCCCCTCCTCCCCGCTGCCCACACGGCGTAGGCGCCTCGCCCGCCGCCGGCCGACTCGGCATCGGGTGCGCCGCCGCCGGCCGACCCGATGCAGCACTGGCGATGGATTCAGCCGATGGAGTGATGACGGCGCCGGCGCATGTGGCCAGCGCCAGACGGCTTGCCGCCACCCGCGCGGGGGAGAGCCAGCGCACTTGGGATGACGGCGAGCGAGACCCGGCGCTGTGTTTATCGCTGTGTTGTGTGTAGACACGCCTCTCAGCGCATGCGCGGCGCTTCCGGCACACGAGTTGGTTTACGCACTCGTAGCTTGCCCGGTGCGCTGCTCTCATATCAGCTCGCATGTTATTGTTATATTTTGCTTTTGGGTTTCTCCCCAGACCCCAGTGTGAGAGGTCGTGGGGGCACGCGCGCAAGGGGCAACCTACGCACTCCGCCGCCGCAGTGCGCAGATCCGCAGAAAGCGCCCGGCGCCCGCGCCGCAAGCTGTCAACGCACGAGTCGACGTCGCACGAAGTGGCAAACGAGACGACTCCAATGTCCAAAAAGCAAGACGCCAAGAGTTAACCTCTGTTGGAACGAGAGAGCTGGTCCCTCGGGGAGACGGTCCGGACTCGGAGGAACACACGCCCTGTCTCGTGTCTGCACGTCTCGCGCGCGCGTGAATAAGGCTGCAGGATTCGGCCCCGCATGCTGCGAGTGCCCTCCCGTTGAGGTGTCCATCTTATGTGCAGTCGGGCTACAACTGTAGCGCGTTGGCAGGATCCCCAAAACAGTCGTCCACACCCCCCAAAATTGAAGTCGACCGCCCAAATCTGTCCCCCGCCCGCAAACTCTAAACCACCATAAACTACAGTCTGCAGGGGCTCCAGGCCCCAAATGACGTGTGAGTGTTAGAGTTGTTTGGTATTGCTAAAAATCTCCCTCTGACCAGTTTGTTTTGTTGCTTTGTGTGTGTGGAGAAATTAAGCTTACCTCACACCGGAGGTCGACAACGAGCGCACACTTGTCACCTCATCGGTCAGCAACAAACTTAAAGAATTTAGGATGTCTGTGGGTCCGAGAGCGATGTGCGTAATTCGCGCTTGTGTATCATCGTTGGGCTGCATGCGCGCCTGTCACCGAGGCCCCTCCCCGAAAGGCAAGTCTTAGCCACATGAAACCCGAGACCCCTCCCCACCGCCCCGATCCCCCCCCCCTTGCTCCCCTCCCCCCCTCGGGAGGGCCGAACTGAGGCGCCCGTGGGGACCCTGCACTTCCCTTCCCCCCTCGGAGGGCCGGACTGAGGCGTCGAGGGCCCCGCTCTTTCCCTCGCATAGCGGCCACTCTTCGGATCGCTGGTCGAGCGACCCAGGGGATGCCCCGCGCGCCTGACCCAGGCGCGAAAACGAATCTGCGAGGCGAGGCCGCTCACGCGGCCCGATGGGGAGGAACGGGGCGAGCCCCCTCCAACCCACCCGCGCTAGGTCTCGGGGGACGAAGGGGTCACACCCGACGACCTCGGGAACTAGCCGGGGCAGTCGGAGAAGGGGCAACTCCGTGCACTGACGGTCGGCCGCCAGAAAACACGCCTGCGTGGATCGCGTCACACCAATCCTCGCTACCCAACGCGGCCAAAGGATATCCACCTCGAGAACCTCGAGAACATCGCACAACTAAAGAAATCGAACACAGGGCCTCGATGACGATTGGCGCGACCGAGAGGAAGCATAATGCGGCGTAGAAGCTGCTGCTGCGTTCTCCTCGCCGCAGTCGCCATCGGCGAAGCGCTGCAACTGCGCGGCGGCGATTGTATGCCGCGTGCCGCTGTCCAGAGGGCGCCCTCGCCACGCCTGACCTCCGACGACGACCTGATGGCTTCGCTGCGATCGCGCCTGCAGACCGACCACAAGAGCGTGCTGCGTCCGCTCGGCCCGGACGAGGTCGGCGCGGACCAGATGGGACCCGCCGATGTGATTGACTACGTGATGCGCTCCATTGCGCAGGATCCAGAGGCGGGGCTTCGGGTGCTGCTCGGCTTCGCGGTGTCAGACCAGGACAGCTCGGGGTGCATCGACTCGCTCGGCCAGCTTCAGCCCGGCAGCTTCGGCTCGCCGGCGGAGCTCCGCGAATTCCTCGCCGCTGACGCCACGGGGGTGGGGTACGAGACTCTCACCGCGCTCGAGGAGTGGAAGGCGATGGGCCCACCCGACATGTCGAACCTCAGCCGCAGCGCGGCCCAGAAGCTGCTCGTCCGGCGCGACGGCGCGCGCTGCCCCTCCTCCCTCTCGCGCCCTCACCCACCCTCCCTCTCGGTATCCCGCTCACCACATCGGACCTTCGGCGCTAGGAGCCAACTGGCGCGACCTCTTCGTCAACCTCGTCCTCGCGCCGGCCGCGGTGGGCGAGGCGACGGTGCCGCGGTGGCTAGTGACGACCATTTACATGTCGGGCAACTGAGAGGTGCGGTCGCGAGTACACAACATGCAATTGTTGTTGCTATGAGACCAGCGCGCAGCGCCAGGAGGGTCAGGTCTCAGGAGCGAGGAGGTATTTCGTGAGGGAGTTTTTGCAAAATTCTTTTCTCGATAAAGCATAAACGATAATTATCGCGGTCAATAAAACAAGGTCTGTGTGATCGAGGGGGTCCCGTACCTCCATGCGGAGTCGACCCTTTTCAGACAACACACACTGCACAACCCGAACCCACCTTTGGGCCGCGGCCCGGGGTTGTGCGTTTATGTAGAGGCCTCCAGCGTCCAGGGCTCGCACCTCAACCTCATAGACCAGCGCACAGCGCCATCTCACGTATTTTCTTCTCAATAGCTAGGTCTGTGAATGGCAGAAAAAAATGCTCGGGCCAGCGCCGTTGTGCAGCGTCGTCCTCACCTCTTGCGCTGCCTGCCTCTCATATCCCCATCGATGTTATTTTCTTTAGGTCTGTTGTTGGCAAATCAGGACACAGAGCTCACGCAAATTCACAGCGACATGGGCTGCGGCATCGCCCGTGGGTTTCCAATCGTTGGGAACCCAGAGGAACGCGCCGGCGGGAGACGACGGTGCGGCGGACTACACATCAATTGTGGAAGGGACGAGCTGCTTGCCGCTCAACATGCACCGCGCCGTCATCTTCCTCACAACATGCACCGTGCGCGGGCCGCACTTTCCAGCTCCAGTACACCCAGTGGCGCCTGCGCGTGCGCACTGCTCGGCCCTTGGAGGTGGCCTCGCTGCTGACGTCTTACTAAAGGTGTCGTTCGGTGCCCTGAACCCGCGCGAGCTGCAGCAGTGGTTGTGCCGCCTGCCGTTCAGCGCTGCGTTGCCAGTGCAGCCGATGGTGTGGCAACCCGTCCCGGGCCCGCCCCGCATGGTTGAGCTCCGCTTTCGTCGGAAGCCGAGCGATGCCAAAGGCGGGACGGACGGCGGGCTGCGCTTCATAATCGACGAGCCCGTCGACGAGGACGGCGGTGGTGCGCTCCTGGTCGCGCGCTTTTCGGAGGGACAGTACGTGCCGAAGACCTTCTCAGAGAAGGCGATCGTGACGTTGCTCGTGCGCGAGCTGTCGTCTCTCGCGCCCGCTGTGGGCGAGGTTGGCGCCGTGTTGCGCCCGTGAGGTGAGCCCGGGCCTTCATTTGTAAGTAACAGCATGCACTTCCCACACCCGTCCACAACACACCACGCGAAAACATTCAGACACAGAACTCAGCGGAAGCGATCCGGGGCACAGAGACTCAGAGACCGCACCGTCAATGATGAGGCTACGGCGCGCATAATGAAGATAAAGTAGAGTATAGAGAGGAACACATCTCGAGTGACGAGTGGCTGAGGAAGCTCTTCACTGGGTGGAAAGAGGCTCGGCCGGCCTTGAGGGAGTCGCGGAGGAGGAGGGATAACGCAGGCCAGTGGGACGAACGAGGGCCGCGACGGCAGCTCAAGCGGGAGGGAGCGGAGACAGTGGGCAGCGAGCGAAGTGGGTGAGACTGATGATGCTCCTTCGACTTAGGGAGCGGTTCAGCTGCTGGGCGGGCTTCAGGCTGGTGCTCACGCGAAAAGGAATCGACGCGATGTGCAAAGCATACAAGAAGGGGAGAAGGAAGAGGAGAGACGCCGGTGGTGACGAAGCAGAAACTAGCGCAGACGAGAGCAGGGCAGACCCGGGGACTGGGGAGCCGGAGCAGACGGCATCGGCCGCCGAGGGAACGTTGGGAAGAGGCACGAGGAGGGCGGCGACCTCGACCGACTATGGAGGACCCGTCGCCAGACGACGCAGGGCAGAAGACGGTGAGGCGGAGCAGACGCGCAGGGCGAGACGAGGGAGGGAGCAGGACTTTGCGGAGATCAGCAGGAGGATGTACGAAGAGATTAGGAGCAGCAGGGACCCGCGGGACCATGTGGAAGACGGCTAGTGCTAGTCCCCCATCGGGAGGACGACCCCGGCTAGTCGCCGACCACACCCACAAAGAACCCTGCACAAAGATCGCAAGGGCGGGGACCTGTTCCTTTTTACCCACCTCACAGTAGAGAGGTGTCCGTTTTTATTTATTTATTTACAGACCGCGCTCCCCCGCGCGCCCCGGCACCGCGCCGGCCGGCGCGCGGCCCCCACCCCTGCACCTCGGGCTCGGCGGCCTCGATCGAGCGACACCTCGGCCGGCCGCGGCGCCATGCACTCGATATTGCGTGTGCGCAGCCATGCGCTGCATCGCGCGTCCGTCCCTTGCGTGGTGCGTGCACTTACTGCTTACTTACTCGAACGAATGCGAGCGAGCTCGGTCGGGGTTCACTCGTTCGTTGTTGCTGGTGTCCCGCTGGGCGGATTCAAGGCCTCGGCGCGGCTACCGTACCCGCCCTGCCGGGGAAATAACGCAAAGTAAGGGGGAGAAGGCAGACCATCCTTTTACGCGGGAATTACGAAAGTTTCGACGGAACGGTGAAAGGCACCAACGCGTTTGCTTTGTGGTTGAGCAGCAGATGCTCTCCGTGCTGGCTGGCAGTAGTCTCGGCAGGTTTGGGGACGCTTGCCCAACTGCGAATGGCGTCAGAGACCCGCATCTACACTTTGCGCATGGCGGCACTGCCGACTTTCGCGGGCGCCACAACGCCCTCTATAATTTTCTCTCTGCGCCCGGGCTCGCTCTCAACGTAAAGACAGAGGAGTCGACCTTCAGGATGAACGGCGGTAAGCTGACTGTCGATGGCACGTGGATGACGGAGGCGCACGTGATTGCCATCAGCCGGCCCAAGGGCGAGATCGCCACCGCCTCTTTTTGGGCATCGAAGCTGAACTCATTCAACACCGGCACAGATCAAGTGAACGGCACCTGCGGCGGGCGCCCCTTTGTGCTCGGGATGGGGTGGGATAAGCAGTGCGAAGAGATGCGATTCGCGGTCGGCTACTCGACCGCCACCTGGACCATCCACGAGTGGATCATCAGCGTCCATGGCACACGCTCCCACCCTGGGTTGATCTCGGGCCCAGCTCACCGGATCGACATCTCCCTGCGGGCCAAGGGGCCGGTGGCGGCGAGCCTGCCACACGGACTCGTTGGTCAGTCATTTTCGACTCCGGGCCTGCCGCGGATTGGCATGAAAGACCACTATCCCGCGTCGGGCCGCTTTCGCACGGCAGCGATGGCCGAGGGCGCCATCGACGGCGAGGCAAAGGAGTACGAGGTGGTCTCGGCCCACTCGACCCACTTTGCCTTCTCCCGCTTCTACAACTCGCCCCCGGAGCCCTCCCAACAGCCCGCCGCCCCTGCTGCGGGCTCCGAGGCCTCCGCCATGGACGCCGAGGCCTCCGACGTGGACGCCGCTGCGGTGGAGGCCGCCCTCGGCCCTCCGCGGGCGCGTCGCCTGTCCGACTGCGACAGCGACGGCATTCCGGACGCAGACGAGGGCTCATCGGACAGCGACAGCGACGGCGTCCCCGACTCACAGGAGTCCAACACTGACGACGCCGACAGCGACGGCTCGGCCGACGCGAACGACGCAGATTCGGACAATGACGGCATCCCCGACGCCGAAGAGGGCACGGCCGACTCGGACGGAGACGGCATTCCTGACCACCTCGACCCCGACTCGGACGGCGACGGCATCCCCGACGCCGAGGAGGGCAATGGCGACGCGGACAGCGACGGCATCCCCGATGCCAAGGAGTCCAACACCAACGACCCCGACAACGACGGTATTCCGAACCACCTCGACCCCGACTCGGACGGGGACGGGATCGGCGACGCCGAGGAAAGCAATGGCGACCCCGACAGCGACGGCATCCCGAACTACCTCGACCCCGACTCGGACGGCGATAACAGGCCGGACGCTGAAGAGGGGACGGCCGACACAGATAGCGACGGCGCGCCCAACTTTCTCAAACTTCCGACGCCTGCCCCGACCCCGACCCCGACTCCTAGCCCGACTCCGGCCCCGACAGTGGCTGCGTATACTGCCTGCAACTCGCTCTGGGCTCAAAATAAATGCTGTGACAACGGCGGCTCATGTCCGACCTGTACCCACACTTCTGAAGTCTCCAACTGCAACGACCTGCCGGACGACGCCGCCTGTGCAAGTTCTTACATGCCTGTTGCGAACGACGAATACCACCGGGGTTGTTGGGGTGGAGGGGACAGATTCGACTGCAGGTACGCGTACTATGACTGCGCGGTCTGCCCCTCCGGGTCCACCTGCTCTCACACGTGCATTCGCGATTCCACTTGGTGCGGAACAACGTGAAGCACCACCCAGCTGCGCGTCCAGCCGACCCCTGCCGACGCTGTGCGGCCGACCCACCGGCACCCCACCGCACATCGACACCGCACATACGGCTCTATGATCGCAGGAAAGACACATCCGATGCCAGTCCCTCCTACACGAGCAATGGGCGGCTCCCGTGGGTGAGGGAGAGGGAGAGGGAGAGGGAGAGGGAGAGGGAGAGGGAGAGGGAGAGGGAGAGGGAGAGGGAGAGGGAGAGGGAGAGGGAGAGGGTGAGGGAGAGGGAGAGGGAGAGGGTGAGGGAGAGGGAGAGGGAGAGGGAGAGGGAGAGGGAGAGGGAGAGGGAGAGGGAGAGGGAGAGGGAGAGGGAGAGGGAGAGGGTGAGGGTGAGGGTGAGGGAGAGGGAGAGGGGCGGAGCGCGTGTGTGCATATGCGTAAAAGTAAAACGGTAGCGCGCTCACACGAGTTCTGACAGTTGGGGCAAAACTCCGAGTTCACAACTGCAACTCCCAATTACACCTCCGGCTGCCCTGCGCCCGCACGCGCGCACCCGGGCACGGCGGGGGCTCCCCCACCCGCCACCGGGCGCCGGGGGCGTCACGCTCACCGCTCACCGCGGGCCGTGGGGCTGGGCGCTGGGGGCCGACTTTTTCGACGAACGGCTCACGGGACACGGCTCACGCTCACGCCGCTTTCTTCTTGCTTTTCTTACTCTACACTACAGCACGCGGAGGTGCCCCGCACACCTGCGACCGCCAGATCTGGCCGTGGGGCCGAGAAACGAGAGGATGCGGATCGCAGAGGCCGGCGCCAACCTCTCACTCGCCAGACGACCACGCGCTGGCCACGGAACGCAGGAAGGTCCTCGCGGCGTCGGCCGCGGCGGGAGGCCACTGGCGCTGGGCCAAGTCGAGCTCGGCCACCCGCTGCTTCACCTCGCCGGGCGCGACACTCCACAGCCGCTGCGCCTCGGCAGTGCCGCGCTCGCCGCCCGCGGCGTTCGTCGCGGCATAGAGGGCGAGCTGGCACTCTGGCTCGATGTCGAACTTTGCCGCGACGCGCCGCACGATGCCGAGCGCGTCCTGCGTCCGGCCCACCTGGAGCAGCTCGAGCCCGTACCTATCCGGCTCGCGGGCGGGCGGTCGGTGGGACGGCGGGGCCGGGCCGAAGGACCGAGGCGGTCTCCACCGCAGCCAAAAGGGCTGCACGTCGCTGGGCGCCTTACTGACCACGGCGCCGTAGTCGGCCGCGGCCGCCTCCCACCGGCCGAGCGCGTGCAGCGCCGATCCGCGCCCGAGCAGCGAGAGCTTCTCCGCCTGCCGAGATCACCCGAGGTCACCCGAGATTGCTCGAGATTGCGCTGGGATTGGTTCGAGACGCGCGAGAGTCTGCTCCGCCTGGTTCGCGCCGGACGCCACCGCCGCCTTGCTCAGCTCGACGGAGCGCTGCAGGTCGGGCAGCGCGCGCTCGGGCTGGCCGAGGGCGATCAGCGTCGACCCGCGGTTGAGCCAATTGACCCACGCATCGTCCGAGAGTGGCGAGAGCCGCAGCGCCATCTCGTAGTCCTCGACGGCGCCCGCATAGTCCTTGAGCGCGACGCGGACGTTCGCGCGGTTGGCGTACCCGCCGGAAAAGGAGGGCGCCAGGTCCTCGACGAGCAGGTTGAACCGCTCCTCGGCCTTCCGGAGCACCTCCACGTCGAGCGTCTGCGTCTCGGGGTCGGCGCCACGGGCCGCGTACTCCTGCCCGCTCTTGAGCACCTTGAGCGCGCCCTTGTCCTTCAGCTGGGAGTTCTCGAGCGACACGCGCCGCAGAGCCGTCTTCTCTTCGCTCGGCAGCGACCCCATCTCCTGCAGCGCGCTGATGGTGCGGACCTGCTCGAGCGTCATCAGGGTGGACGCCGGCGCAGAGACGGCGGCTGGCTCTGCTGGAGGATCGGCAAGCCCAGGCGGCACGACGCCAAGCCAGCACCCCGAGGCTAGCAGCAGCGACACGCCGGCGGACTGCAGGCGGGTTGTTGGCAGCAGCATGCGAGGGTCCTGCAAACTGGCGGGGTAACCCGCTGTGTGCGAGGTGGGGTAGGTGCGACATCAACTCTCTCGGGGGCACTTCTACAATCAAACGCATTTGCTTGCGCTGCAGCTTTGCGATGCGCACTGACCGTTGTTGGTACAGTAGAAGCCAGGGCACTGGTTCCGAACGCCAAGCACGCTGCAAAAGGATCCAAAGCCCGGTGTAATCTCCCCCGGAGGGCATGGCTGGTCCTGCGTGTACTCGGTACAGAGACTCAGTGGTGGTAAGGGTGGCGGCGAAGGAGCCGGCGGCCTCTGCACGATGCACTGCCGAGTCGAGGCGCTTCCGCCGCAATAGAACTGAGTGTCGGGGTTGTCTAGTTTGACGATTATGACGGCATTGTTCGCGCTGATGGAAGTGACAGCGGCCTCTACGTTGGGTCCCAGGCGAAGGATAGGCGGCTCGGTCAGGCTTCCGATCGAGATGCGCACCTCGCAGTACTTTGTGCTGCATTGCAAGAGCGCACCAGACGACGAGGCGCCGCTGACGGAGTACGTAGTGACCTCGTCAGCAGATGCGACCCAAGTGTCGATCCAGTATCTCGGGGTACTGTAGCCCAGCGGGACTCTAAAGGTCCCAAACAAGGAGAAGGTACCCAGGTCAGTGTCGCCCATTGCTGGCCAATCCACCGTACATTGCCTGCCATCCCATGAGGTGCCCGTTCCGCAGATGCCCTCCATCGAGGGACACGGCGATGGCGACGGCGACGGCGACGGCGACGGCGACGGCGACGGCGACGACGGAGAGGCGCGGCAGCAGGCCAGAGGGACGCCATCCGGGCCGCTCGAGTCGCAAGTGTTGGTCTCAAAGCAGTCAAGCCCGGTACACCCTGAGCAGTCGTTGCACTTTCTCACCACATAATCGTCGCTTGGCTTAGCAACATGGAAAATAGAGAGGAAAAGAGAGGGTGCTGTAGAGAAAAAGGGAAAGGAAAACAGACGGGGTGCGAGAGGCAAACCTGGTTGATTGAGCCCAAAACACGGACGGAAAAGAAACGAGGCACCGCCGAGGAAAGATACGTAGGGAAAGAAAGGCCAACCTGTGACCCAGATGAGCATCAGCTCGACGAGGACCGGGACCGCAACGTTAGCGCCATCATGGCGCGACAGGCCGCGACCGAGATGTCCGAGTCATCATCCTGGCTTTGCGAATCTCGAAACTTGTGCAAACAAGGGCAGTCACGAGGCCCAAGAAGGGGTCCTATAGCGACCGTTGCTGGCGGCGCCTTGAAGAGGCGCGACCACGGCGTGCGACCAAAAACGTGCCTTCCCCTCTCCAGCTCCCACCCTCACCACAAACAACCTCCTCCTCGCCCAGGCTCAGTCCGCTCGTCCGCTCCCTGTAGCAGCAGCAGCAACAGCGCCCGTGCCGCTCCTCCCTGCTGCGCCGCGCTCGAGCCCATGTCCGTGCGCCCTCTGGTGATGGCTGGGCCGTCGGGCGTGGGCAAGGGGACGCTGATTGCGCGGCTCATGAAGGACTTCCCCGGCTCCTTCGGCTTCTGTGTCTCCCACACCACCCGCTCTCCTCGGCCGGGAGAGGAGGACGGTGCGCTGCTGCTGTGCCACCCGCCCGGCTGCTGCTAGGGCTGCGATGAAGCGGTGGAGAGGGCCCCGCCGCTGATCGCGCGGCCTCGCTGCGCCCTCCGCACGCCCTACCGCAAAGCGCTGCGGGGGAGGAGTTCCATGGCTGTGACTACAACGCCTCGGCGGCCGCAGGTATTGCGTACCACTTCACAGAGCTGGGCGCGATGAAGAAGATGGTGGAGGCGGGGCACTTCCTCGAGTACGCGGACGTGCACGGCAACCTCTACGGCACCTCGCGCGCCGCCGTCGAGAAGGTCGCTCAGGCGGGCTGCATCTGCATCCTGGATATCGACGTGCAGGGCGTCCGGCTCGTCAAGGCGAGATCCGCCGAGATGCTGCGAGATCCGGGCGAGATGCGGCGAGATGCGGCGAGATTAGCCGCGATGTGCCTAGTGTATCGGCGCGCAGGCGGGCCGGGCTCGTCGCGGTGTGTTGCCTGCCGCCGCCGGGTTTGGAGGAGGGGTTTGGAGGAAGGAGCAGAGGGCGCGGCAAAGGAGAAAGGCAAAGGAGAAAGGCACCCCTCCGCCCCCCCCTCTACAAATAGAGGATCCCCGGGAGTGTGGGAATTCCATCTCGCCCCCAAGGTGATGCACGGCCGCGACGTCTTCACCGGCGAGCGGCTGCACGCGGTGACGTGGGCTCCAGTGAGTCCAGTGAGCCGCCAGCGACATGGGAGCCGTGCTGGGATGGAGAGGAGGGGCTGCGCGGTGAGCGCGCGCCCGGATTCATACTCGTGCTGCACGCACGCCAGCGGAGCGCTCTGCGCGGAGTGCGGAGAACACTCTCTGCATGACATGACCGCGCCTAAAATGTGACATTGACGACCATCGAAACGGTCGCTCAGAGAGAGTCTTAAACTAGAGTTAGTTTTTGAGACATATTAGTACGCACTAAAGGTGCAGGATGGTTGGTGTCGAGACGGTTCGGCGCGGCGTGTCCGTGTGCCGTCGGGGGTGGCGCAAGTCCGAGAAGTGTGGCGCGCATACGGCTCTATCGCTGGACCCCGTGAGGACACATATCATGAGGTCAAGCCGAGCATCTTCTGGAGCTCGCCGCTGAGGGCGGCCGCCTGCGTCGCATCGTTGCCGCCAAGGTGGCTGCCTCGCACGAATACATTTGGGACTGTCCGCTGCT